GCACCCATGCCCTCAGCCCCTGCTCCGAACACACACATCAGGCCGCCTGGCACAACGCTCCGCTCACACATCCCACGGGCACCTCACACTCAGCTTGTGACACACCCGGCTTCCGCCTCCTTCAAACCTACTCCCCCACCCCCCCCAACCCCACCCGGGGCTCCACATCCAAGTGTGGAAGCCGCAAATCTGAGCGGCAGCCTTGACCACTCCTACCCCTCACCCACTTTCCACTCCTGGTCCAGCCCGCGCAAGACCAAGTAGCGGCCGGCGATCCTAAATCTTGCCCGGTCCGCCGCCCCGGGGTCTCTCAAACGTGTCCACGCCCTTTCGTTCCCACCAAAGCCACCGCCTTCCTGCCAGCATTTGTGCGAGTCTGCGTGTTCTCCGGGCCTCCCCGCACCGCCGCACCCCGGCCTGCACCCGTTCTCCACGCTGCAGCCACGTGCGGGCCACGGAGACCTCATCGGGCTGGAATCCGGCCCTGCGTCACTCTCCTGCTTAAAACGTTCAGTGACTCCGGGTAACCCTCAGTATGAGACCCGATCTCCTTACCAGGTGTTGGCCCCTACCCACCTCTCATGGCGCACCCCTCCGTACTCACCCCTTTAGAATCTCCACATCCCGGTGGGACTCCCAGCTCCCAGAAGGTGCCAACGTACCGTACTCCCGATCTACAGGCTTTCACACACACCAGCATCCAGGTCTGGAATGTTCCTCCTTCGCTCCCCTCAACAATTCCTCCTGGCTGAATGCCGATCACGCTTCCGGTCTCTCAGAGGCGTCTTCCCCTGCGAAGCCTTCCCTAACCCCTCTTGCGGAGCAAGGAGCCCCGCTCCGTGTTCCTACAGCCCTCTGCCCCTCGCCCTGCATCGTACCCATCTGAGGAGGCAACAATCACACCTGTCCGGCTTACCACGTTTTCCCCAACACCTAGCGTATCATTGGCAGTCAGAAAGAAATGTTCTGATGAGCGAAGACAGAAGACGGTTCCAGTAATATGAGGCCCCCAATAGTGACCTGACTTAAAGCAGAGACAGTGGAGTAGGGAGAAGCAGATGGAACCGAGAGATTAGGGGACTCGATAGGGGGAAAGGGGGGGGAAGG